CTTTTGGGATTTTGAAAGAAGCGTTCTTGACAGTTTTAACAGGAGAGTTTTGGAGTATCATCCGCAGGCCCAGGTTTAGTTGAAATATGTGGAAGCAAGGGTTGGACCAGAGGCACTAGCTTTTCCAGGACTTGGAAAAGCAAGAGAGGCAAAACTGACGGACCCTTCCATATGCCATGCTGCAAAAAAGTCCTGTTTAGAAGTTAATTTGGGAAACTAGAAAGACAGAGATCAGACTGTTCCTTGGACCAAAGTCACCTGAGACAGATCGAGCAAAGTGACTCACTGACTACCTGAACACTGACCGTCCTCTGATCGCCATGAGCGAGCTGTGCTCTGAGAGCTCTGAAGAGGAGCAGGCTGACGTTGAGGAGAAGCCTCAGGACCGAAGGGTGACCCGGCTGCCCATCATTCAGCTCATGCCCAGGTCCCCTGGAGGATCCCCAAGAAGCTCGCCCAAGGATTCTCCACGTGGGTCTCCTCGAAACTCGCCGCTGCTGTTCAGGAAGCTGCTGATGAACCGCAGCATCAACCAGAGGCGCCGCTTCACTCTGGCCCACACGCCCAGGTAGTCTCTTAGGAGACTTAAAGTAGTACTTTATACTGTGACATGAGGCCTTTTAAGCTCTTAAGCCAATATTTTAAAATGTACAATAGTTTCTACTTTGGTTCTGTGTTCCTTTCCGATAATTGCTGGCTAATGTTTCAGGCGATCTGAGCGTGTTCTTGACATTGGAGATGGTTCTTGTCACATGGCGGAGGGTTGCTCTACTCTAGCTGGAGATACTGTAATATATTTTTGTTTTGTTTTTGTGAAGGTAGCAGCGCTTCACACAACAAAAAGGGTTGCCCTTTAGCTTATGTTGTGAAATTTGATCCTGACTACAAGATTCTCATGTATTGTCCTCTACCTAATCAAAATCAGCCGTTGTGTCAGGGAAGTTGTGCTGAATTCAATTATCATCACGTGTGTATGGTAAAGTTGCTCTTTCATTTTCTACGATTAGACCAGATAAGGGGGTTGCAGTTGCTGCTGATACTTTGCTTGATTTCTGCTTCGTATATATGCTCCGAATATGCTTGGTTTATTTATGGCTGCAAAACACGGTACCCCCCCAGTGGATTTAGGTGAAAAGCAAAGGTCAGTGGAAAGAGTTGGATTTTAAAAGCTCCGTTTTAGTGTTTCATTTCCTACAGGTGAATGTGTTTTTCCAGAGCTTTTGTTTCTCGACCGAGCGGCATCATCTCAGTAAACACACAGCTCACCGACATCCCCGCTGTCAATCAGCACATGTTGTTGCACTTCTTTGCCAAGCAAGTGCTTTGTTCTGTCAGTGACAAAAGCTTTCTTTTTTTAATGCAGCACGTTTATAACTGGTAACAGGATATTTCCTGCTTAGCTAATGCATGTTTCATTTAGTCTTCATTTTGTATCTATAATAGTGGCCTTACCTGTTGTTTGTTAAGGTTACAGCTGTCAGCTGGTACCTCTTGATTGCTTTAGATTTACGACACGTTATTACATCAGATCTGGCCCATGATTCAAATGAAAATTAAACATTTACTTGTTTAACAATGTCAAAGCAAGAGTCTTATGATCGATCAAACCATACTTGACCTTAGAGAGGAAGAATAAACTGGGCCTTACACATGTGTGTGGATGGATAAATACGCAGCTAGTGTTTGTTTTTTGTTTCGAGGGGACAGTGTACTTCCTTGTGGGTGTGTTAAATGTAGTTTTCTTCACACTAAGGTTGTGCGACATTGCTGATTACTGTAAAACCAGTTTTTATGCACATGCCTCCGATGTCTCTGCAGATGTTTACCCTTCACTCCTGAACGTATACACACACTCAGATGTAGGCATGTAGCAATCCTGGGATGTTACAAGGTGTCTTCAACTTGTTGCAGTGATGTTAGATCACATCCATCTCAGTGAAGTAACATTAAAAGCATGAGAGGAACTCGCCGGTAATGTGAAACCCTGTCTTGCTTTTATTGGCAAGAAATGCATATTAAACATTCCTCCATGTTTGCAAGCTAATTCACCTTTATATATTTATGTAGACAGAAGAGTCAATCTTCTTTAGGTGCTTAATGGTCTGGGATTAGAGACTTACAGACACATTCCTTTTCCAAAGTTTACTTTAAAACTGTTTCATTAATTTCAGTGTGTCTGTTCCGAAATCTAAATATTGGAGAGCGAGAGTCCAGTGAAGGGGATTTCAAGGCTCAATCTGGAAAGTCATGATGCTGCAGACATTCAACCTGTCAGAGCTTTTATACTGTACAGCCCCTGAGGTCAGGCCACTGGAAGTGTCCCTCTGCAGGGTCTGTGCATGTTCCATAATGTCAGAGCTGAAATAAATGGACGGAGATGAGTTATTGCAGGATGGCTGGCAAGGAGGAGAAATTAAACAAACTGGGGGTCCAGCGGAAAATAAATGTCACAGGCAGCTCAAATATAGAACATCCCGCAAAGTTATTATCCCTTGCTGTCTTGAGTTGATTAAGCCTCTTTTTCCACTCCAGTGACACCACGTCAAATGGACTTTCTTTTGTGAATAACAGTCAATGAAAATTGTTTTTTGCCAGCTCTAGGGTGACGGACAGTTTTCTTTCCATTGTGTTTAGTTTATTAGTTTAGTTTTTTAAATGTATATACATCAGGGACCATGTTAAAAAATACATTCATCTCAAGAAAGAGAAGAAATGCTTTGTACCAGATTTAGCTACTAACTACGCACACACACACACACACATACACATACATACACACGCATGGAATAGACATTAAACAGAATACAATAATATAACATATTATTATTATTGGTCACACAAAGTAATAAAGCACAAGTCATTAAAATAATAGATGTAAAATATTACAAAGGTTATAAAAACAGGTCCATCAAAATGTCAATTTAATGCTGAAGACTGGTTGCTTAAAATCCATTCTTTAACCTGTCAAATTGAGTTGTCACATCTTAAAATGTATATTTAACAAGTATATCACATCGATGATACTGGCATTATTTCCTGTTCATGACTTTCCAGGCTTGTTTATGAAGTGACCTAGTGGGTTTTAAAGCTCTTGTCTGCACAGAGACCAACATGATGGACAGTAACAAAAATAAGAAAACATCATTGCATTCAAATATACCGTAGGGACTTGGACTGTTAAAGAATTCCTAATTTATCCAACATACATTAGCTATGTTATATTCAAGACGTGATACATTTTTTAATATGCGTTTCAAATGTAAGAGTGGGATCTTGAGTGACACCTATAGTATTTGAACCCTCAACATTTTGTATCTTTTGTCCATTGATATTAATATTTGGAAAAACCCTCTGCTTTTGTTTATCCAAAGAACAATACAGGGTGACTGTTTTCTCAGTATGCAGAGGGAGACACGAGTAACTGAGCCACTTTGCAACTTTTTCTATCGACAATTGGGCAGCAACTTGTTCAATGTCTTTCACGTTAGCGTATAAGCTACATAATGATATTGCAGCAGAAATAAATCAAGTCATTTGTCTAGCTCAGAGGACTTGTTGTCTACCTTACTACAGTTGCAAAAAGGCATCGTTTGTGTTTTAACAACGTTTTGCTTACGAGTTATCGATTGGGACGTCTGAATCTGTTCAACTTTACCAAACTAGGCAACGTTAACGTTTGTCTTAATTATGAGATCAGAATCTCATAAATCCTGATCTCGTAGTCACAAGATCGTTTCTCATAATTATGAGATAGTAATAAATAATTACAAGATAAGGTGTATAATAATTTTTTTCTTTTGTGAATTCAGTTTAGTTTAAGTTTTTTTTAAAAACGTATCATAATGATCCTAAAAGCAATATCCTCGGATCAGCCCTCCCTCATATGTTCTAGTGTTACTGAGCAGAAAGAAAATGCATTCCCTGTCCTTTTCCACTAGAGGCTGCTATGTTGTTGAATGTGGAGCATCAGGAGGACATGTTTCTGTTTCTGTGTTGGGTCAGGGAGCAGAGGAAAGAGATATTCTTCTTTGGCTGGTGTGTAAGCGGGCATGGACCCTAATATTTCAAGAGGTTGAAAAAGATCCTGGCGTCAGAAATATTAGTATCTCAGTTATGTTAGGAGCATTTTCTCTTTTCCTAGAAAATGTTTGACAGCTTTAGTTGCATAAATGTGTGTATTTTAACCCCAAATAGTTCAAATAGCCCATCCCCTGTGGCATTACAGGACACCGCTATTAATCAAATATTTGAAATATATAATTACAGTAACACTTAAACAGAACCAAAAGAAAACATTAGTTACAGCACATATGTATGTACTTTTATATGTTTCCTCTCCAAGTGTCTAAAGTTATGTTTCACAGTGGAATCATTTCGCACTGAGCATTTCTAGGCCCTGCTTCAGATTAGACGGTCTATCTGGTGGTTATTATGGACAGTAATAAACCTCAGATGTGTTAAATTGGACTCTTCCTGTCTGCTTCCTCCCTCACATTATGAAAAATAAAATATTTGTTTACCAGTAAAGAGGATATTGTGCGAATGAGATGGATTATATGGTGGCATGAGAGTAGAACTCAATCACACACACACAATATTGAAGTATTGATTGACCGTAGCACTATTGCTGCCGGCACGGAGGCAGGCTGGTTACACAAAAAGAGAAACTGTATACACTCTCATCGAAAAAAAACATGTACTTGTGATACTAAAGTAGTTTTTATTCTTCTTCTATCACCTCACCTTTAGTCTTTCCTCTCTAACCCCGATACTGTTCATACTGTCCACTTTCTCATGGAATGAGTGTCATTCTCTGTACTCTCTCTCAACCACCCAGCACCCCACCCCTTCACAATCTCTCTCTCTCGCTCTCTCTCTCTCTCTCTCTCTCTCTCTCTCTCTCTCTCTCTCTCTC